TAACAAAACAACATGGAGTTTGAAATAAAACAACAAGAAGTTTAATTTAAAAATAAAACAGCGAGGCGTCCCTTCTAAACCTAAGTGGTGCGCCTAAAACAACTAGTGCACAAGTCATTGTGACTTTGCACGTTATTACCCATTAGTAACAACTTCTAAGTAACTCGACGTAGCAATGATTTCTGCCTCGTTAAAAACCTTGGAGAAGAACCTCCTTGCCTTCCAAAATCCTCACCAAGGAAAAGAGTACAGAATCATCACCTAAGTTACCTAGTCATTGTTACTGGGTTCTTCATTCTTCAAGATAGAGATGTTGAAGATGTGAGCTCCAGCCTCCTGGTGATCGCTGTCCTCCGTGGCAATGAGTGCGTGAGCCTCCTTAGCCATCTCTCTAGCTCTGGAACGAGTGATCCTGCCAGCTACCTCTGGTTCCTTCTCCTCTGAGCTGGTCACGATCATATCACTTGTTAATAGTCATTGCAAAAGCAAGTGGTATGGGGAACTGTCTACGACGCATACAAAAGGAAAAGCGTGCGTCTACCGGTGTTATAAATATCCTTGGTATTAACATACACTCATCAACGTGATTGTCATAATTTCCCGTAATCACTCTAGCCCTGATAACATGATTTGCCAACTTAGTACCTATCAATTTTGTACCATTGCACAATCTACTCTTAGGGTCAATGTTTCGTAGTAACATTATCAGAGCTCCCACCTTCAAGAATAGTTTGTGATTAGACATTCCTGAAATCTTAATGCTATTCAAACCCCCTTACGTATATATGATGTCATCAGCATCATTTATGTCTAAAGGTTCAATACTATCTGCACTTAGATATCTTTTTTCTTCACCTGAATATTTAACAGTTGCAAACATTAGTTACATATAACAGGATTATTAATTTTAGTACCGTTTTTAATGATCATTCTTTATTTAATTTGAAATATGAATGTATAAAACGTTTAAGGTGAAGATCGGTCGTGAATAAGTCCATATTATTGTTAACATATGGCTACATATTCTAAATTTATTGGCCGAATTAATGATATTAAAATTATCTTAAAAGTTTGAAAAATACCTGGTAACTTTGATAGCATATATTGGTTTATGATCTCCACATCCACATTCATAGGACGTGATATAGCTCTATCTCTGAAGAACGGTGCATCTGTATTGGTGGCAAATCAATTCACCATAAATCTCCTGAACAATCGATCGTACAAGATCGTCGCAATCGAGAATTAGCAAATCTTCTTGTATCTCAATTTCGACTTCTCCAATATTAGGCTCGTTTATGTTTCCGTCAGTAATATCTAATATCCACTTTGAGAATGTTTTAAGATCTTCAGCATCGTAATCAGTCAGCAAGCATGCAATCTTATATTTTGTGTAAGTTGTAAAACTTCACATTTGTGCCAAAGCGCTGATGAATTTAAAACGGCCATCGCAGTTTGAGACCTTGTCGCATCTGGTATTACTGGAAAAACCTGTCTAAAATCACCGCCAAAAACAATTACCTTACCACCAAACGGTTCCTGATACTTTAATATATCACACATGCTTCTATGCAATGTATCGAAGCCGAACTTGCTCATCATGGGGGCCTCATCCAATATTATAAAGCGGATCTCTTGATTAATTCCGCTAAATACGAACCCGACTTCATCAAGCATGTGGTATGGTCATTAACATTAATAGGAATGGACAATCTAGAATGTGCCGTTCTACCACCTTGCAATAGTAGTGATGCAATCCTACTTCACCTTTTGGTCTCAAAGCAGCTCCTAGAGCACTCTAAAGGAAAGTTTTTCCAGTACCATCAAAACCGTAGACAAAAATAAAGACTCCACCAGAATCCTGGTTCACTGCGTCTAATATCTCTGTGTAAATCCCAAGCTGTTCATCAGTTATCTTCGACGTGAGCTTTATATGTTTTTTTCGCAGTTCATTTCGATTATAACTCTTCTCGTCACATATTAGAGTATTTTTGTATTTGTCGATCTCAATATCATCTGAACAGGGGATCTTGTTGAAATTGGATAGAGCACTACCACTCGTTCTGAAAATCTAAAATTTTTAATTTCTTCATCATCCATAACCAAATCTGCAGATAGAATTGAAAAAAATTAGCGGGAAACAATTTAAAGTGAACACGACATACTTATTTGTGTAGAGTTAGAAAGTTCTGCAACTTAAGATGATGGCAATAGAAATTGTGAAGTTCCAACAGGAAAATTCGTGAGTTTGTTGAAAACTGGATAAAAAATTGATGACCAAAGTTCTGCAAGTTTTTGATTTTTTGCAACTTCTAAAACACATTTCAAATTGGTGATAAAAAATTAGGTGCTTATCATTTTAAGTGGAAGCAACCCTTTTATTTGCCTAGAGTAGCTAAATTCTGCAATTATAATTTTATACGACAAACAAATTTGTGAAATCCATAGCTTATAAAGACGATTTAACATGAGGTGATAGGGACTTTGAAAACACGTTTTCATAGCTTATGAACTCTGGAACTTTCGAGCTCATTTAAAAACGATAAAACACGAACAGGGCTACATGTTTTATCATTAAATAAATTTTGATCAAATCCAAGACTTTGAAATCATGTTAGCAGGAAAAAAAACGACTTTCTTGAGTTTTTCTTTAGGGAAAATTGGAAATTTAAGACACAAAATGGAAGAACTTGTCCCTTTAATACTTTTTTAAATTTTGGCAATTTTGGACAAAAATAACCTTATAAATACTTTTAATTGCGAAAATAAATATTTATATATAGTTATTAATTCCGAAAATTCCAAAAAAGTAAAGAATATTATTCTAAAAAATTATTTTAGGAAATACATATATTTATAAATATGTTTTAGAAAACGTGTTCTATAGTTCTAGTGTTTTATAGAATTCGTTTTCTACTATTTGGTATAAGATCAACCAAGTCTAGAATTCGGTTTCTACTATTTGGTATATGATCAACCGAGTCTAGAATCGATGTTCTACTATTTGGTATGTTTTCTAGATCTCTCTATAGAATACTTTATCTAGAACTTGTACTACATTCTATATACTGTAGAATATGTATTCTAGAATTTGTTATATATTCTATGTTTTCTAGAATTTAACTTCTACTGAGTTGTCTTCGTTCTAGTGAATATAGAATCCATATTCTACCAAACTTAACAGAATCACAGAAAATCTAGGATCAGGTTGTATCCAACAAAAATAAAATATTTGAAAATATTTTATTTTCCTTTTTTTGTTTCACGTTTTTAACATATTTGGGAAGTTTTTTTTTTCTGTTCTTCTTCTCTTTCACGACAATTTAACGATTTCATTGAAGTTCTTCTATGATTTCTGTTCTTCTCTGATTTCTGTTCTGGCTATTTATATAGTTCAGACTGTATACAAAGTTACCCAAAATCAATTTGGGATTTTAAACCCTAACATATATAGATTGAACGAAAGGGATATTGAATACATTAAAGAGGTTACCAATTGGATGAGAAGATTGATAACAATTGAGGATGGACTCTGGAGAATCGACTTGAGAAAGAGCGGAGAAAACGATGGACATGTTCGGCAAAGATGATGATATCTTATTTAGGCTCGTAATTGTATAGTTTTTTTTTTAATTTCTATTTTTAATTAATATTAATTAAAAACAATATATTAATATGAGAAAAATTATTTTTTAGGGGCAAAAGAGGATTACGATTAACATAAGTATTAGAGAGACAATTTTTTCTAAAAAAGTACTAAAGGAACAAGTTCTTCTATTTTGTGTCTTAAATTTCCAATTTTCCCTTTTCTTTATCTTCTTTTTCTGGTGTAAAATATCATCTGATAGCATTTTCCAAGTTGCGTTCCAGACATTTAGAATTGACCCAATACTATTCGATAACAACATTATAACAAATAGTTTACGTAGAAACCGTCCAGATCCCCAAATAACTGGCTTCTTTAATTGTTTCGATATATTCTTTATCATCATCCAACAATCCTAATGCAAAGCAAACTTCTTGGAAAGTAGCATAGAGCACATCGTTTACTGTTCTAATATCTTCAAAGCACGTAGGTCCTTTCACGAGGTTAAGTAAATCTCGTAGATAATATACTTTGCCTAATGTAGGCGGCACATATGTGATCCTGCCTATAGTTTTTTGTCGTTTTCGTGGCTCCCAAGTTCTTGTCTTGACATGCCATGCAAAATTAGTTGGAAAATCAGCATAAGTGAGCTCTTTAGATTCTGGATACATACTATTGCATTCCATCCACACTAAGAATTTAGACTTACTAACAGAGATATAATTTAATACATCTTCAACCGGGTCATCTTCGTGATACACGAGAAGTTGTTGATGAGGATGATGGAATGAAAGCTTTTCAACTGCTATCATACGAAACTGAATAACAAATTCCAAGATACGCCATACTGCATCACAAGCGGACACATATCTGTATATTATATTGACTTTAGAAACTAAGAAAGTTAATTGTTGAGACTAAAAAATTTAGGGAGAATTGTTTTATAATGCAAATTGAATTACAATTTGTCCCCCTAATGTTTTCTGAAAAATATTTGTTCTTCTAATATTTAATTTAAATTTAATCCAATTATATCCTTTAATTACGTATTAATAAATTAATTTATTTTTAAAAATGTTTTAAGAATTAAAAAAAGGAAAAACAAGTAGAACACCAATTCTACCAAGATTAAAAAAAAAAAAAGGAGAAACCATCTTCTTCACCTTCACCGTGAGTCTCCATCTCCTCCAAGTCACCTGCAAACTGTAAGTAAAACATATTTCTTCTTCTTCCTTCTTTGTCTGGGTCGTATTTCTTCTTCTCCATTCAAACCCTTGATTCTAGGGTTTACAATTTCTCAATTGATTTGGGGGTTTTGTTTCTGGGTTTGAGTTTTCATTCAAGTGTATTCTCATTCAATTGTTTTTGAGTTTTCGCTCATAGCCACATGTATTCTCATTCAATTGTTTTTGAATTTTCGCTCATAGCCACATGACCGATTCTGGGTTTGCTAATTTCGATTCTGGGTTTGCTAATTTTGATTCTGGGTTTGCTAATTTCGATTCTGGGTTTGCTAATTTTTGTTTACTTCAGTATCAGTGGCGCTTGCATTACGATCCACCCACAAATCCTGCAGCTCCTGCTCGTATTCCTGGTGCTTAGCTTCTGTGAGTTCTCCTTTGAAATCCATCGACTCTCTTCTATTTTTGTTATCTTCTTCATCGCATGTCTTCGATTCTCGTACACAGTTAGTGTGCTCCTAAATTTGTTGTCCTAATACTCGCGATTTTTTCACATATCGACTTTTTAGCGGTTAGGTAAGGGTTTTTTGATGTGAATATGAATAGTGTTATTTATGTATGATCTGATTCGTGGTTAGTTTTGGTTTTAAACTAGTCGTCGTGCTCCATCGGTGTGATTTTTTTGGAACTTTTGAGTTAGGTTGATCATGCAATCGTTCTGTTTGATTGAAATTTTCTCGATGACTGTCGATTCGTGACCTTGATGAAGTTTTATGCTCTTATTGTTGCCTGATCGATTGTTACGATCTCCAGCTAATTTCGAATCACTGGAACTCTGTCGGCTTGATTAGCAGCTTGCATCTCCCTTGAGTTTTCGCTCTTTCTCCACCTTGATTAGCAGCTTGCATGTCTTTATCTGCCGTAAATCCATCATAGTCGTTCTCCCTCTTTTCCGTCGCAATCGTCGTAAGCAACTTCATTTCTCATTTGGCTATATATTCTTCAGCTGTGTTTTCTCGTTTACATGTTTGAGATATATGGATTTGAAGTTTTCTCATCATGCTTTTTCTGGGTTTCTATAGAAGTTTTGATCACAATAGCTTGTTGATTCCACCATGTGAAGTAAACTGATGTCTTAGTTTTGCCATTTTTTTTTCGCTAAGCTCTTTGTTTTGCCATTTGTCTTTGCTCTCTGTTGATTTTGTTGTTGTCGCTAAGCTCTTTTTTTCCGCTAAGCTCTTTGTTTTGCCATTTGTCTTTGCTCTCTGTTGATTTTGTTGTTGTTTGTTCAAAGTTTTGAAACTTTAAAATGTTTGTTCTCATATGATATACTCGTTTGCCAGTTCCAAGCTTTAGCGGATCACCTTTTCCGCAATCCAGATTACCATAAACAAGTTAGGAAGCATATTGTAAAGCAGGTACGTTCTGAGATCCATTCTTGTGCCTAAACTTATAGATCTGTTCTGGGAAGAATGTCGAGCTCTGTAGTTAGTGTCTTTACGGATGTCTGTATAGTCTACGTACTAGTTGTTTTACTTTACTCTTGCTTCTTATTCTTAAGCCTCCGGGCACTTTTTTCCCCGGATTTAGCAGTGAGCTGAAATTTTGTAATAAATTTGAAGAAATCTTTGTTCATATTTTTCTTTACAACTGAATGAACAGATTTGAAACCAATAGACAATGAGTTAAAATTTGTAATCACCGTGAGTTATATCAACTGAATGAACAAATTTTCATATGTTTCTTTACAAAGTTGTCATGGCTAATTTTATATTCTACTTTATCTGTGTTGGAGATCCATTTTACCTAGAGTATTAGTTACTTCGATTATCGAAGTATCATCCCTTGTTTATAGTAACATTAGTTGAATGGTTATCTGTGCTTCTTATGGACTGCTTGAACTGCATGAAAGGTGATATGATATATTTACTGAGTCACATTTTCCAGAGTTGTACTGGTAAACTACATCTATGGTGAATAATAGATAGAGAAACATACGTTCATATGTGCCGATTTGTTTTGTTTTCCCAGAATATTCTTGTTTATGGATAATAGATAGAACCAAATATATGATTTAATGTAAGATAACCTTTAAATGTCATCATATGTCTGAAAGTTCCTCTTTATTGCCATTTTGTGTAGTTCGTAATGTGGAGATCTCTTTGTGTATTATATTTTTGTCAATTAGATACCTCACCATCATCTGTAATCATCATTTCCTCCTTACAGTGTCAATGCTAAAGCGTCCCAGGAGTCCTCCAATTTTTCATATGTTTCCTTACAAAGTTGTCATCACCGTGAAGTAGTTATACTAGACAATGAATATAGATGATTGTTTGTAATATATTTTTACGTTTTGTTCATAATTTTGGTTTTAGTTAACTTATTTTGCTTGATTTTAGTTAAGTTTTTAAACCGAACCTGCTCTCTAGGTTCACTATTGGATACTGCTGGTGAAGACATGTGCAATTACCTTCGTGTGTTGTTTTTTTTTCCTTCTAAGTTGAATTCGTTTATATGTGCGTGGGTCAAAATCAGAGATCAAGTTGTTTTTAAATATTTGTCGTGATGAAGTTGAAGCCAAATTTTTTGCTATGTCTTTTTTGTTTTTATTCGTAGGTATGGACGAGGAACTTCCGAAACTGCTTTTCGAGCCTGGTTTTGTGAATGATATTGACAAGATCAACAATCGATGCATTCTTAACACAATGGACTCCGTTAAGAAAGCACTTTCAGACGAATACAAAAGAGTTCTGCTAGACCCTGTCTTAGGACCTGTTTTGTCGATTATCGAGAACGACATGGGATATTCAGGGCGACTAATCCATAGCTTTCTGTGTAAGGAGCTCATCACCGACAAGAAACACGAGCTATGGTTCGTGTTTGCGGGGATACCTCTTCGATTTTCTCTGCAAGAATTTCATGCGATTACTGGACTGAACACGGAAGACGATAAGACTTGTGATTTCAGTGATTGGGTTGATGATGGCGGGTTCTGGAGTAAGTTGTTGAGAAGCAAACGTGGAATTACTTTGTCTAACATAGAAACTAAGTATCTTGGGCGTGTCAACAAATGGAGGCGTGAAAACAGGTTGCGGTTAGTGTACTTGTATGTTATTGCTTCTCTGGTAATGGCAAAGAGCAAGACCATTAATATCCCAAAAGAATATATCATTCTTGTTATGGATCTGGAGAAGCTACGGAAGTACCCATGGGGACGTGTAGCGTTTGATTTTCTAGTGCAGAGTATCAAGAAAGTTCGTGTGAAGTTGACGCAATCTACAGGCTATGCACTGAATGGCTTCTCAATAGCTTTTCAAATCTGGATCATGGAGGCAATTCCCGTTCTCAGATATATGCTGTCTTCAAGATTGGACGATGTGATCGCTGGTGTTGCTAGATGCTCTAAGTGGAACGGCATTAGCTATGTGAAAATTTCAGATATTAAGCATATCGAACATACGTTTTGCACGAAGGTGATTTCTGATTCTTTTGCGTTTTTTTTTTTTTTTTTGCTTTGTTGTATTTCCATGCTAATTGTCCTATTTTTGTTTTTACAGGAGAAGCTCTATCACTATATCTCTTCCACTGGGAATGATGATGTCGTCGATTCTTTGGACTTCGTATGGCCTGATGAAATGGCTGACGCAAGAGTGGATCGTCTTAAAACGATGATCAATGATGGAATGGATTGGAGTCACCATAATTGGGCGGTAGAAGAAGCAATACCTGCAACTCTTGACGAGAATGAGGAAGAAACAGATGAAGAGAATGAGAATGTCGCAGAAGAAAGCCAATTTAGGACACCACCTGCTGTAGGTAGCTCAGTTGCAGGTTCGAGTCGAGGAAAGAAAAGGGTCGCAGAACCTGGTGCAGAAACACGGAAGCAGAAGTTGATGTGCGATCACTTTAAGTCTTTTATTCAAGGACTTTTGCAGACCTCGTTAAAAGCTTTGGAGGAAAGACTTCAGACGAAGATTGATAGTCAAGTAGAGCTGTTGGAGAAGAAATGGAAAACATAGTGGAGATGCTTGAGAAGAAGATTATGGAACCCATCCAAGCAGGTGGATTCACTACTGCTACTCCCACCGCAGCAAAATCATTATCTGGTACGTTTCACACATTTGTAAATTATTTCATTGCTTTGCTTTATATGCAAAAATCTCATTGCATTTATTTTGCACACTCGCAGGCACAGCTGGTGACGTTCCTTTACCGGCAAAAACATCTACCAATGATGTTCCCATATTTGCAGCAAAATCACTATCTGGTACGTTTCACACAAAAGCAAATTATTTCATTGCTTTATATGCAAAAATCTCATTGCATTTATTTTTCACACTCGCAGGCACAGCTGGTGACGTTACTTTACCGGAAAAAACATCTACCAGTGTCATCCCTTTAGCTGCTAAAGCGTCAACAATTGCCGCCTCCAAATCCATAACGAGGTCTGCATGTGCTATTCTAAGCAATGGGGAGACTTCGCACCCTTCCAAAAAGGTAAGGAAGCGCAAATACTAAGACCTGATGCCCTAGAATCAAAAATAATGTCTTTTTTTAGGCTACGATGTATTCTGTATAATATAAAAGATAATGTAGTTCTTAGATTTGTGTGTGTGGTAGTATTATTTTTAAAATGTAATATGTGTGTTTAGAAACTACGCTTGAAAAATCTATTTTTTTATGTAGACTTTTGGTAAACTTGAAATATGTCATGTTAATAATTTAATATATTTGTCTCACACATGTTGTTAATTTCCTAAGTTCCACTTTTTTTTCTCTTCGTATAATACAAGAGCTATTTTGTACATTATCAGGAAGATGGAAACACAGAACTCCATGACGTGCTTCTCAGTCAAGAAATGGATTTCGACCTGGAAATGGATCCAGAAGACGCTTTACTCGCAAAAGCACTTAACAAAATTTCTCAATCTTCATTTGTAGCTGATTACGATCCGACACAGTCAGAAGATGCAGATCGCCCATTGATTCATGTGTCAGAAAACGATTGGGAAAGTGTAGAGGAGTGGTCACGGACACGCGAGTAAGCACTAAAACACATTTTTAGTCATGTCATAAACACTTTTAAATTAGAGAAAAATATTGAACTTACACGTATTTGATTATTTATTATTATTCTTATTTTTAAATTATTTCAGAGACTTATTAGTTGGTCCCCTCGTGTATAATATAGAAGTAGCTAATCGTCTCATGAATAAACGACTGTGGTTGCGCACTCCGGTAAGTACCTTTAAAATTGATTTTCTTAAAAATCATAACGTGTTCAACTTTGCCAATGTGGTTAACCGATGTTAATGTTGCAGGAAATGGATGGAATTATGTACTTATTTTGAGAGTACACTTCTTTGGCATCTTATTTTTTTTTTTTTTTTGGCATCTTATGTTTCGTTGCTTGACATTGTGTTCTTGACGTAATGATTTTATGTTGCTTGATCTGATTGCTCATTTTTTTCATTGATCCTGAAAATTCAGCAACACAAGGTTTTCTCGTAAAAGAAAAAATATTATACATGAACTTTTTAGATTAGAAATTTAAAAATAAGAAAGTCGTTTTTTTGGGGTTGAGGAACCCAGTAAATACATTTTTTTTTTGGTTAGAAAGAAAAAAAAAAAAAACTGGAACTACGTCCACGGGTTTGAGAGTAGGAATGAACACAGGAGGAACCAGTAGAGCTATTGTAATAAATCAATAATTGTATCCATGCAATATGTTTTAACTATGTAAAGTTGTTTTTATTTAAAAAAAACTGGAACTACGTCCAGGGGGTATCGAACCCGGTCGGAGAGTAGAAATGAACACAGGGGGAACCAGTAAAGCTATTGTAATAAGTCAACAATTGTTTCCTTGCAATATCTTTTAACAATGTAAAGTCCTTTTTATTTAAAAAAAACTGGAACTACGTCCAGGGGGTATCAAACCCGGGTCTGAGAGAAGGAATGAACACAGGGGGAACTAGTAGAGCTATTGTAATAAATCAAGAATTATATCCTTGCAATATTTTTTAAATATGTTAGGTCGTTTTTATTTAACAAAACTGGAACTCCGGAGTATCGATCCCAGGTCTGAGAGAACGAATGAGCATAGGGGGAACCAGTAGAGCTATTGTAATAAATCGAGAGTTGTTTCCTTGCAATATATTTTAATGTGTTTCATTTTTTTTTCTTAAAAAATCTCTGAAATCCCATACGACTTGTTAACCCTGAAATTCATCACATATCGTACAAAGCATCTCTAAACTAAGTTAAACCTCCAGTTTGGCACTTAAACTTGAAAATCAGTACAGAATTTGTCTTTCCTAAAGTGAAAATAAATAAGAAAACCAAATAAGCAAAACGAGTAACAATAAAAAAAAGAGATAGAGAAGAGCCTATATTGGCATGTCACATGTCCCTCTCTTATGTCCTTCGATACCACAGCGACTGCACTTGTGCTTCTTAGACCGTTGTGATCCTTGGGACGCTCGTATCTTATCTTCCACACTTTCGTATCGTCGTTTTTTCCTGCGTCCTGCTGCTCGTCGCGATTCCGGTTCTACAACTTTGGCATGTTCAACATGATCAGGGACACACCAATCATCCTCAGGACCTGCAATTGGATTAATGCATTCCTCATAAGCTGTTCTCCATGCCTCAGTAGTGTAATAATGATCGGTGAGAGTGTGTATCTGCTGGTTCACAGAAAACGCTGCTTTAATTGCATGCCGACACGGAATTTTAAGCAAGTCGTACTTCCCACATGAACAAGTTCTTCTGTCCAAATCAACAAGACAGTCATATTTGTCACCTCTGACCAAAAATCGATCCTGGCTAACTGGGTAAACAATGAATGTTTTACCCTTATCAATCCTTCTCGATCTTCGTCTCAACCTCAACTGTTAGAGGAGCCTGATGCTTTGAGCTAAGTTTTTTACGCTCAAAAAACCAATTGGTTAACATTTCTCTGATGCTGTCGAGTAGAGGAATAACTGGGTACTCTCTAGGAGTTAGCAATTTATTATTTATCGACTCAGCTGGGTTAGTGGTTTTAACATCGTACCTAAATCCGGGGAATTTGCATCGTGCCCATTTCTCAACACCAGCGTCCTGAAGATACTTTCCAACAGCTGGACTAATAGAACAAATGGCAGCAAACTTGGTATCAAAAGCAGAAACTCTGTACTCTTTAGAAGCCTACGCAATCAAACCAGTCAAACCCTGTGTCTTGAAAAATGTTATCACATTATTCAGCAAGTGGTGGATACAGATACCATGGCTAGATTGTGGGTACACTTTCTCAAGGGCTTTAATTACAGAAACATTTCTATCTGACACAAAAGCCAAACGTACCTCATCCGCAATGACAACTTTTAGTTGCCTCATAAACCACTCCCAAGACAGGTCGTTCTCTGAATTGACAACCCCAAATGCGATCGGATATAAGTTCGAGTTGCCATCTAATGCTGTAGCAACGAGCAAAACTCCTTTATATTTATTTTTCAAAAATGTCCCATCCACAACAATCACTCTGCGAATAGCTTTGTAAAAACCTCGTACTGATTGACCGAAAGAGAGGAACAGAAACTTGAAACGTCCAGTAATGTCAGTTTCATACTGCGTATGGGTCCCTGGATTCGCTTCTTTCAACATGTGCAAATATTTAGGAATTTTGGCATAGCTTTTCCCGGGAATGCCTCGAACAATACTAATCGCATACTCACGTGCTTCCCAAGCATGGTCGTAAGAGATGTCACATCCATGCTCTGTACGAATAAAATGAATTATTTCTCTAGGGCTAGGTCCTGCTTTAGCACCCTCAAACTTATTCTTAATCAGATTACCAATAGTTTTTGCTGAAGCTGTCCTACCGACTACGTCTTTATTAGAAGGAGCGCTTGTATGTTGAGCGACATACTTATTGATTCTGAAATACTCTGACCCTTCAAGACACTGTGCACGAATACGCCAGTTGCATGACTTCTCTTTGCAGCGGATACACCACACACGTTTGGTTGATTCCAGTACGTTGTAGTCAAAATTATACTTCATCGCAGAAATTTCCAAAGAAGCCTTCAACTCTGTTTTGCTTCTAAAAATTTGATCCTTCTTTACGACATCAAGCAAGTTAAGCCGAACGTTCTGCTCACCATCAACTTTTTTCTCAACCATAACGGGTTCATCAAACTCTTCCTCAACTTTATGGCCAATGCTTCTAATATCATCATCGCCTGATTTCACAACCTGATCGTTTTTCATACAGCTTGAATCAGAGGCTTTCATCATCAATTCGATGTTAATCGGAATCTCAGGATGTTCAGCGTACACAGTGAATGTCACACACATATTTACCGAGGTTTTATTCCTAGAGTACCCAACAAAATTTTTGAGCTGACGATCATTAGCGATACTCACTGGTGGAGAGCCTACAGTATCAATCAAATCACTCGGTAGATAACTAAACTCAGCTTTGTGATCGACTACTCCATAGTCTTCTAGAACCATTGTTTCTAACTCTGCGAGAGTCGTATTTGATTCAACAGCAACTAACCTAGCTCGTTTTTCTGCATCAGCCACAAAAACCCACTTCTTATCTGTCCCTGATTTCCATGAACCACAAGTCACATAGATATGTAGCATGTTTGAAGCAGAAAATATGTAATTTTAGGAAAAATCTGCTTGATCAATGTGAAAGAATAAGAAGAGAACGATGACAGCCAAAAAAGGGGAAAAAAACGTCGCTACAGCATTAGTCTAAAAAAAAACGTTGCAAGTTAAAAAAAAAAAAGATTTTCGTAATATTTAAGTTCTGGAAGTTAACTAATTTTCCTAGATTTTCTCAGATTTTGGTAGAAGATGTATTCTACGTTAATGTAGAATGCAGTCTCACAGGTAGAAGATGCATTCTACATTAATGTAGAATGAAGTCTAATAGGTAGAAGATGCATTCAACGTTAATGTAGAATGACGTCTAATAGGTAGAAGATGCATTGTACAATAACGTAGATCCTGGTCTAACGGGTAGAAGATGTATTCTACTAACATGTAGAATATAGTCTATCTAGTAGAAGTTATAATCTATCAATTGGTAGAAGATATAATGACCTATAGAAAACGACTTCTACATGCTGGTAGAATATGTGAAGAACTATAGAAATGAGATTCTACGTGGACGTAGAACATAGAACATGCATTCTACCAAGCGTAGAACGAATTTTATAAATATTTTAAAAATATTTTCTTTCCATAAATGATATACGAAAATATTTTAAATTCCTTTTTAGGTATTTTCGAAATTTTTAAAATATAGTTTCGAATTTAATTTTAATTATAACTGCCATAACTGATTTAAAAGGGCAACTATGTCAAAATTTGACAAAAAAATAGAAAACATTAAGGGGACAAATGTTAATTCAATTGACATTATAAAAGCAATTCTCCCAAAAATGAAACATCATAGAGGAATTAAGTATAGCTTCATTGTGGTTATTTGTTTCCTTATTTAAAAATTCGGTTTGTAATGAAAAACAACTTAAAATAATAGTTAAAAAAATCAAATTTTAACCTGCAACTATAATGCTCTTTTATTTCATTTTTTAATCGCTTTCACCAACTCCAACTATTATGTAGTCAGGAGCTTTGGTTATGTATTTGAACTTAATAAAGCATGATTGGTTGCACCATTCGACATTGATGTGGGCTCAAAATGGAATCAATAGATCCCAATTGTATGGAATAACATAAGAGTTACACATTCAACTCCCTTCTTATTAATTGTTCTACCATCTTTCCGCCTCTGATATTTCGGGTAACCAGCTTCATCAATAGTTGTTTTTGGATTAAAGGTCTTGGGGAAGAACTTTGAACATTTTCCTACCTACCCTACAAGGACTGCGCTGATTGTTTGTGTTGCATGGTCCATATAACATGATCTCACCAATAATCTCGTATAGAAGGGGATCTTCATCTTTATCAGGAATCTCAGCACTAATAAACTTGTTGATGTCCTCACCAAAAACTAGGAAAGTAAGAAAGAAAAAACTATATGCGCATGTGGTAATCCTCTTTTCTAAAACTCTATTGTGTATATTGCTGCATTTATGAGGCAATAAATCAGTGCGTTTTAAAAGAAGATAAGTGTTAAGAAAATTACCATGTGTTTGAACTAATGCATGCGTCAAGCTTTGGCTAAACATGATTCCACGAGAGGAAGAAAAAACAAAAGGAAAAAACTGGAGGACGACCTATTTAAGCGTTTGTTGATGTGCAGCTGCGTGAATTATAGGGTTAGGGGTTATGAAAAGTGGTTTTATATAAACATAATAAGAATTATGAATACTTTTTTGTATATTTATCTGCTTATTTTTTTTTTGTTGAACTTACAATTACGATATTTAAATGGAAGTATTAGAGAATTTTTTTGGTATATCTTTTTTTTATTTATTCAGTTTGTCAAACTAACTATTTTGATATGCATAAAATTGCTCTTTCGTGGAAGAAGCTTTATATATATATTCCTTTTATATCCTAAATATGGGCATAATAGCATTACCGATTGTTTTAGTTTAGTTAAACAAAATTTTTACAACAAAAATATTTATCCTTAGACTAACGAATGAGGTTAAGTATCAGAATCTAATCGTGAAAGAATTACTCTATACCAAAATTTAAGTAATCAAATTAATACATAAATCCGATTAGTTAGTTGAAAGTTGAAACATTAAAACCATACCAGAATATTTCGATTTTGTGGGTTTTTATCAAAGAAAATGACTAATCCCGAATTCAAATGTTTTACTTAAATTAAATTGATAGTTAAACTTATATTGAAAACCAGTTTGTTTGTTGAAATTAACGAAACAAAATCAGAACTCGTTTGGTCAGGTAAACCATTCGAAATCATTTTAAAAAATCTTAGTATATTCGAAACCAAATTCTCGGTTTAATTTAAGTGTAACCGACATGGGATTTTTATCAAAGAAAATATTTTATTCAGAATTAAACCGTTTTATCCAAATCAAACTGATAATTAAAACTTATATTGAAAACCAGTTGGTTAGTGATGTGAGCTACGGTTGAAGGGTCGCAGATGAATTTTTAAATTTTTAAACCCTAGTCTCTGCAAGTGCACATCAGTGCGTTGTAGTACTTAGGGTGTCGATCCACATGGAGAGTTGTCTTTTCTGCAAAAACCTCAAACTGGATTAGTAATTGAAGTCAAAGACCAAATGGGGGTTTTTGTGGGGTTTTGGTGTCATGATTTCTACTAAGCTAAACAAGAAATAAAACTAAAAGCAATATACAAGAACAACAGATGAAAAATGTGTTGGGTATTAGGGTTCATCTCTAGGGATGATCTATGACACAAGGAATCTAGGTAAGGATTTTCTATGACTCTGAAACTAGGATAAACACTTATAAGATTATCCAACTCTCATCATCCTAATCATCTAATTACTTAAAATCGGCAATTATCTCTCGCTCTCATGCCAAAATAAGATTATGCATTTCAGATCGGAATCTATCTCGACTTACGTATCCTTTGTAGGTAGCTTTCGTCTCGTACAACGGTGATGTCCATAAGATCCAGTTCAGATAACTTAGATACAACACTCTCGTGGCTCGGATTTAACCTTGGATCGGACACTGGTTTTCTACTCCAGCGTACTGCTTTGAGTACAGGATGAATGGGAGAATCATTTAAAATCGAAATCCTTTAACCTAAAAAACCTAGATGTCATCGGTCATGGGGTCCCTTTCGATAGTCCTCTTACCCAACAAGGTAACTACTCAGACATGGCTGAGCTTGAAAACATCATCATTGGTTTTGAAATAGAAAAGCAGTAAAGTAAAAGAGATTTCATAAACTGAATAGATAGATGAAAAGAAAGAACAAATGTTCAAGAGAAAAATCTCTATCTCCCTAATCTAAACCTAAGAAAAAAAAGTTGAGTGCCTCCCTAACAAGGGGAAAGGAGCACACACGAATTAGATATTCTAAAATACATATTTATAGGTCTCCAAGTCTTTCTGGTCGTCATTAGGGTTTTCTTTGAAGAGAAAATGAATTGGGCTTGAAAACGGACCATTGGACTGAAAATAGGTTTGTTGCAGAATAAAGTCTCTCTAGGGCTGTAAATGATGGTTCACTGCGGTTGGAGGACTCTGAGGAGCGGCCAGGAGGGTGTCTACCGCGGGCACGAGCTCCTGGACCGCGGTGGTTGGATTGTGATGTCCAAACTTCATTCCTTCTCGTGCTTCTTTCGCGAGACTACATAACATGTCTTCAGTAATTGGATATAACCTATGATCCAACAATTGGATTGCATCGAATCCAATTTCATTAGAAATCTGGTTCTCTACTCTATATTGTGTCCATATTTGAGCTTGATCAGATAGTGAGAAAGTCTTAATCGGATGTAAAAGTGGATTTTTCTCCAATTTGCATTGTTTTTGCTAAGTAACCTGAAAAGAGTATTGAAACCACAAATATAAGAAATCCATGATAAAAGCACTTGAAAATAGTTTAAACATTTGAAATATCATAAGAAAACACTAGTGAAAATGGGTATAAATACGGTGTTATCAACTCTCCCAGACTTAAACTTTGTTTGTCCTCAAAGAAAACAAGATCCAAGCTTGAAAATATATTTAACAGAAATCATAAGGAACTCAAAATCATCAGTAATCATACTTCTAGACCATAGTTGAGCTCAATGCATCAGTCAAGGGTAGCCTAGAAAATTCTCACCAAAATATAAATATAACTAGTCTGTTAACCCGTCATGCGAAAATCTACACACTTAGACTTAACTTCCAGTCAACTAGCTCTTAATATTCATTATAGGTTCCAATGGTTCTCATCAGAAGAATAATAAAAGAAGTATTCAAGGCTAGGTATTCAAAGGGCTGTTTATTGGTGAGGTTTGATGTGTTTACTAGAGAGACAATATATTATGCAAAACAACAAGAGAAGATGAAACTGTTGACGTCCACAGTATCCAGCCACATTCTTCTTGCCTTAATATTTTTGATCTCCTTTCTTCAGGTTTTCCTCATAACTCCCTCAAACTTAGATTTTCGTCTAGGTTGTAAAACCATAACTCCTTAGATGAATACTTATAGCCTTTGTTCAAAATATTTTCGGCTATTTAAGACTCTTTAGACTTTTGGTTTCCTTTCCTTTTATTCTTTTTTTTTCCTCTTTTTTTTTTCTTTTTGATTTTTTTTTTGAAAGAGAAAACCACCTTCTTACATAGAATCTTAGGGAGCACGAGATTTACCTTTAAGAATGAGCTTTTTGAGGCACCATTAAGCTTGATAGGATTTCTGATACTCCTCTTTCCCAATTTTCTTCACTCTTTCTCTTGAGTGACTGAAAACTATGTTGGTCCTCCCTCTCCGGCGTTTTTGCACATATCTGTCGATACAAACTTAAGAGAGAATGCATGATGTTTGACCATTTAAGGATATGGTACCAGCTAAAGATGAACTGGTCATCTAGGATAACAAAGAGTGGTAATAATAAGGTAAAGATGTCCTAGAAGTACATCATGATGCCTTCCTAAAACCATTGATGAGAAAATTAGATGTCAAGATTAAGTCCAAGTAAAATGAGCTAGTATATCTTGTTAGAAATAATCTCCATGAATAGAAGTTCTCTGGTGGGATTTCGTAGTGTAGGTACTCTAGCTACCGCCTAGTTTAGTACTAAACCTTGAAAGAGCTTTCATAAAAAGATGGTGTAGAAGCAAACAGGTTGGTTATCATCACGGATTTTTGTCATCATTCCCTCAAAACGTATTTATACTTTGAAAACACTTTAAAAAATTAAAATATTTTGAATAAAAATGCAGAATGCAAAGACTCATGAAAGAAAAGATGGTTAGACAGGGATGAAATCTTCCTCCAGACTTAAATCACACTGTCTCCAGTGTAAAATAAATCAGGTAAGGATGAAAAATAGATATGAATGTATGGAAAAAGATAAGAAAAATAGAACTTACGTGGATGCAGGATGCAATGAATGATGCAAATGATGGTGGAATGCATTTGGGGATGATGGTGATGATGCAAATGATGGTGGAATGCATTTGGGGATGACAGTCAAGGTGGAAGTGCTTTAATCCAAATGAGGATTGATTTGGCCAAGGTGGAAGGTTGATTAGCCAAGTCTAGCCGAGTGCATCAGGTTCCGGGTCAGGGATTTACGGCTGAGGTGTAGCTGGATCCGGCTGAGGCATGGAGCTGGGCTATGAGATGGATGGTACGGCTGCAGGTCAGGAAGTGGGTCGACCGCGGGTCAGGAGACTGGACTGTGGGATGGTGTGGTATGGCCGCAAGTTGTGGGTTGGTTCGGCCGCGGGTGAAGGCGTCGCGGCCGACGGTCAGGTGAGGCTGGCCGCGGATCAGGGGCTCCCAGCCGTGGTGAATCAAAAATTTTTTGTTTTGTGTGTTTTATGAAAACCTGAAACTAAGAGAAGATAAAATATTAATGGAAAAAAGAAAGAAAAACTAAAAGAAAACATACCTACAAAGAAACTGTCTCCTCTAGGATCAAAAATTAGTCTTGGAACTTCTTCGGGATATAAATCTTTGATGCTTTCTCCTTTGTGACAAGTCTTGAGGGAATAGTTTTGAGGGCCATCTATGCTTCACTTTGGCTCTATTTGAGTATCCATCACGTCCAATGGAAGCAAAGATCATGTGTGCATCAAGAGAAATCTTACTGCACATTGAACTTCTCTGGTCAATGTTTTTATGAAGTGTGAAGGGTGGACCTTCTTCTAGGACGTTTTCAGGGACCTTTGTAGCTCCTCCAGGATCAAAAACTGGTATTTCTCCACTGCATATGGTCAGGCAATGAGAGTTCTTTGCATCCTTTCTCATCTCCATAACATGGAAATCATTAGGAACAAGAAAATCTTCCACTTGAAGAGAAAAAATGGGTGTGAAACCTAATAGAACTGCAGAAAAAATATTTCCACTGTGAATATAAATCATAGATGAATCGGTTTTCAAAATACCTGTTTCCTCTGCAGTGAGCTTTGTGATAACACCGGATTTTGACCATTTTTATGGATCGTTTTAATATCTTATGCAGGTGTTTTAACTCTGTTTTCAATGGTTTTTAAGTGATTTCTATGTTTTAGATTTTTAAAAGATTTTTCAGGAACTTGGACTAAAGATGTGCAATTTGGAACAAATGAGCAATTTTAGATAAATGCAGACCGTCAGAAGTATGGTACTCGATGGAGACCTTTTCAACGTCCGATCATCCCCAAAATTTTTGAAAACCTAGAGGAGACAACCAGCTTTCTAATGCAATTGGTTTGGAGACAATCCAACGGTTAGATCTTCAGATATTCTCGATGCACTAAAGACAGAAAATGCAGTCTCGAAGGAGAGCATAGGCCGCGACCGCGGCCAGACTATGATTCCCCGCGGTCAGGACCACCACGACCGCGGCCAGACAACGTTGACATCCGAAAGTGACCTAATTCAAGCCCAAGTCCAGCCCACTACTTATTCTTCAAACCCTAGACGTTTCCAACGAATTAGAAGGCTATATATACTCGTTTTAGGTCATTCTAATGACCAAGTCGTGGAGAGAGAGCAGAGAAGAGCCGCATACCTCGGAGTTGCCGTCTTCGGGAGAAGAAGGAGTCGCCGAAGGAGCCACCATCAATCTCCATCTTCATCCTCGTTCTTCATTCTTTACCTTTCTCTTATTTAATTTCCAGTAAACTACAATACTTCTGTGATGTTCTTATACACTATGATTGAGTGATTCCCTTGTTAGGTTTTAAGGGATTTTTCAAAGGGATTCATGGATTGATTTCTGGTTTGTTAGATTAGAGTTTATCTTTAGTGTTCTTCGTCTAAATTTGCGTTTCGTTTATGTGGCTTGGATCGATCATCTAGCTACTGCGATTAGATTGATTTACTCATCGAAAGTGTTGTTGAATCGATTAACCCTATTTAGATGAACAAATTCTCTTAGACGGCCTGAGTCGATCTAAAGCGTTTTTGTGAAATTATCAAACTAATTTGTCTAGACACTTAGAGAACTGAATGGGAGTTTAGTAAATCTGAGTGAATTGATTTGTGATTAATACTACGTGAGTAGGTTAGTCTGGGTTTGATTTCAGGAACATATCTATTGAAAACTCTATGTTTAATTCTCTTGTTAGCTAGTCTATGATTCCCGGTGAATTCCCTAATGCCTAACACCTTCTCGTATTGATTTGATCTTATTGTTTACTTGTTTTTAAGTTTATTATTTGTTATTTTCGTCACTGTTCATAACCTCTAGACAAACACCCATATTTTCATCTTAGCTCAGTTCTCATCTCAAGTAAACTCGTATTGCAGTTACTTGGTCTTCAGTGGATCGACCCCTAAGTACTACACCATACATCTGTTCGCTTGCAGAAAACTAGGGTTAAAACCTGAGCACATCAAGTTTTTGGCGCCGTTGCCGGTGACCTTTAACGTTGCCTACGAGTTTCAGGTTAAAAAAAAAAGAGAATATATTTATTTTTTATATAACATATATATATATATACATATATATAAATTAATATTAAAAAAAACGAAAAAAAATATATATAATATAAAAAAAATATATAAATTAATTAATTAAAAAAAACACACACACACACAAAAATTAGAGATGGGCGATAACAATAGACACTTGCAAGGTTTAGATAGGCTTAGAGATAACCACCACGTCCAGCAAAACGTTGATGAGCACGTTAGGTTCCAAAATGCTTCTCGCTTAACTCTAAGAGATTATAACACTCCGTACGCTTTCTATGAGAACCGAACTCCCATTAGTCTACAACCCATCAGCGTAGACTATGAGATTAGTCCGAAACTCATAAAATTGGTCAAGCAAAACCAGTTCCATGGCGATGCATCGGAGAATCCTATGGACCATCTAGAAGATTTTGAAGAAATCTGCAGTACCAAGCAATCCATCGGAGTTCCTGCAGATTACATAAAGTGCAAGTTGTTTCCATTTTCTCTTTGTGATAAGGCGCGTGCTTGGTTCAAGTCTTTGTCTCCTGCTTCACTCGAATCATGGGACGAATGAAAAGCTGCCTTCCTTAACCATTTCTACACCACCTCTAGATCAAGCTTTTTTAGAGACAAGATTTATAGGTTCCAACAAAAAGGAGGCGAACCTTTTCATGAAGCTTGGGACCGTTATAAAGGCTACATCAGAGAATGTCCTCACCACGGTTTTACAGAGACATGCATCTTGAATACCTTCTACGAAGGTTTTGAATGGACATCTAAGGCGCCTCTAAATGTAGCAAGCGATGGAAACTTCATGACAAGGACTGTGGAAGAAGCTTACATCTTGATTAATAATCTTGCTGCAAGCAGCAGAAATAATTGTCCTGATCAAGGAAGAACATCACGTTCTACTTCTCATGATCATAAGGAGATTGAAGAACTTAAAGCCATGGTGAAATTGTTTCTCCAAAATCAGCAGCGTTCTGTTAATGTCTGCGAAGCAGTTAATGCAGCTGGGATTAATCATCAACTTGGAGCACAAGATCACACCCATATGAATCTCCAATCTGCTCCAAAATCATCTCCAACCTCTCAAGACAACAAGCTCGAGCTTATGGTGCAACCACTTCTTATGAAGCTGCAAAGATTAGCAGACGATGTGGATATAAGAGTGGACTGCCTATACACTGACCTTAATGGTAAATTTGAAGCTCTTTCCACTCAGGTTGACAGCATGGACGTGCAGCTATCACAAACCATAGATAGTTCAAAAAACACCGAAGTTATCGACAGACGAATCGCTGAGGTACATGAAAAAAGCACCCAAGACACTCGCAACCTTGAGGTTAAGTTAGACAACATGGATGATCTTGAGTACAAGTTAGACATCATGAATGATTACCTCAACAAGAACATTGAGGAGTCATTTCAGAAGTTCACTAACCTCTCAACTCATGTCAAGATGCTCGAGAATCAAATCGGACAAATTGGAGAAAGTGTGAAGAGACAAGATGGTCACCTTCCGGGAAAAACCGTAGACAATCCAATGTGGCGTTGCAATGTCATAAACACTGATGGTGAGAGAGAAGTCACGCCTATTCCTAGCAATCAGGACACTGAAGTTGAATCTCCAGCATGTCCTGAAGAGTATGATGCATTAGGCAAAGTTCCACATCAAAGGAAGCTTCATAAGATAAATGATTCGGTGAAGTTTGTCTTTCCCTGCAAAATTGAAGGTATGGAATTTTCTGACACTCTATGTGACACAGGAGCAAATGTGAATGTGATGTCTAAAGCAATTGCAACCGAGCTGGGGATGCGTGACATCAATCACGGTTCTGTTAAGTTTGGAGACAATTCAAGCACGATTCCGTATGGTTTCGTAACGGATTTGATGGTGCAAGTAGGAGGGTGTCTTGTTCCTGTTGATTTTCACATTCTTGAGATGGAAAATGACTCTCCCAGGGCGTTAATATTTGGAAGTTCATTCCTTACAACAGTGGGGGCAGTTGTTGATTATCCCAACCAAGAGTTTGTTTTTCTAAAGTCAAAAAGAGAATCTTCTATCCTACAGTCTGTAGTGGTGGAAATTCTTACTGTATAACCATCTACAAGGAAGAGAAGTTGATTCTAGACCCTGGAGATAACAAGGGAAGGTGCCAACACGTTTCTATACAAGCCCCTTTAGTCGGGCCTAAGGGAGTTGTCGAGTCGAGAAAATCAAAGCACAAAGCAAGGAAGTCTAAGCGCAAATCAAAGAAATATAAGGGCAAAACTACCTCACCTGGTGCAAGCTCGACATCGACCTCTCAAGATCCTATTGGAGACGTGGAGAAAGATGGTAATGCTAAAGTAGTCACCCCAGAGACACGTCCAGCCCCGCCTCCAAAAGCAAAACCTTCCGAGCTTCCTTGGTTTATGCATATCGCGAATTACCTAGCAGCAGAGGTCGAACCGCCACGATTCTTCGGCTACAACAAAAGAAGTTCTTGTGTGATATAAGAAGGTACTTTTGGGATGAACCATATCTTTATAAACAGTGTGCAGATAACTTGTTTCGCAGGTGCATCTCCGAAGAAGAAGTTCCAGAAATCCTTTTTCATTGTCACTGATCTAACTATGCTGAACACTTTGCTACTGATAAGACTGTAGCGAAGGTTTTACAAACTGGTTATTGGTGGCCTACCATGTTCAAGGACGCCCATAAATTCAAATCTAAGTGTGATGCTTGCCAAAGACAAGGGAACATCAGCAAGCGACATGAGATGCCACAAAACTTCATTCAAGAAGTTGAAGTTTTTGATGTTTGGGGAATCGACTTTATGGGTCCTTTTCCTTCGTCTTTTAGAAACAAGTACATCCTTGTTGCTGTTGACTACGTGTCTAAGTGGGTAGAAGCCATAGCCAGCCCCACAAATGACGCAAAAGTAGTAATGAAGATGTTCAAGTCGATCATATTTCCAAGATTTGGTGTTCCATGAATCGTGATAAGTGATGGTGGTTCTTACTTCATCAACAAAGTCTTTGAGAATCTGTTGAAGAAAAACGGAGTGAAGCATAAGATAGCTACACCTTATCACCCACAGACGAGTGGCCAAGTGGAGGTATCAAACAGAGAACTCAAAAGAATTTTGGAAAAGACAATAGGACCGACAAGAAAAAATTGGTCAGCAAAGCTCGATGATGCTCTTTGGGCATATAGAACTGCGTTCAAAACCCCATTGGCCACTACACCTTTTCAACTTGTTTATGGTAAGGCTTGTAATCTTCCATGGGAGTTAGAGCTCAGGGCAGAATGGGCAATAAGAAAGCTGAATTACGATATCCAGATGGCAAATGAGTTAGACGAGATTCGCCATAACGCCTATGAGAATTCTAAGATCTATAAGGAGAAGACGAAGGAGTTTTATAACAGAAAAATAGTTCATAAGACGTTCTCACCTAATGACCAGGTTCTACTTTATAACTCACGTCTAAAATTGTTTTCCGGAAAGCCTAAATCTCGATGGTCTGGACCTTTCAAAATCAAAGAGGTTTTACCCTATGGTGCTGTGCCAAGGAGGTGATTTCACTGTCAATGGACAACGTCTTAAGACATATCTTGCAGAAAAGGAAGATCCGATCTCATTAGCAGATGCGCCTAATGCCTAAAAGACGACCAAGTCAAGCTAACGACTTAAAACAAGTGCTTAGTGGGAGGTAACCCACTCGGTATTTTACTTATTTCCCTTTGATCTTTATTTTCTATGTTGTTGCTTTGTTTTTGTTTCATTTAATTTCAGGTTTTTACAAAGAAGAACGAATAAAAGACGAGCAGAAATCCTAAACCAAAAATCGGCAATTACTCCGGCCCTGTTGAAACCTCGACCGACGGTGCCATCCTCCCAACCGCGACTCATTCTTCTGGCAAGGTAAGTACATCTAAACACTTCAAATTTCTATTTCCTTATCCATCATTTCTTAGATTTTATCACACTGAGGACAGTGTGAAATAAATATGGGGGAGGATGTTCATCCGTTACTAACGAAATTTGATTTGTTTTGAGTTTGTTTTGGACATAAAAAAATTACCCAAAAACTTTTCAAAAAATTTTCAAAACGTTTTCAAACCAGGAATAAAATAAACAATACTATAATGATTTAGACCAGTGTGCTTCTACGCTATTTCCTTGTTTTT